GCGTGCACGCCGTGCTCGTGCGCGTATACGCACCCATGTGCGCGTACATATACATACATATATATATATATATATATTTATATTATATATTTATATATGTATATATACATTTATCGGGGTTTTAATTACATGATATTTTTTACACTCGTCGTACAGAGGGAGAAAAGGATGGCGCGGAGGCCCGAAGGAGAGGATGGGAATAGGAAAGGGATTGGGGAAAAGGACAGATCTCTCATACATTTACATTGTCTCTCTGTCGTACTGCTAGTTTACAGGAAAATTCTCATCGGTACTTAGTCGATATCTTACAAACGTCTTTTTTTTTGTCTACCTTGTACTGTAGTACGTATCCTTGCATCTAGCGAACACGTCTCGTCGTCCTGTGTCCTGGCGGATATGTCGCCGTATCGCTCGTAGCGTTTATCTTTAATCGATCTTTCCTTTTAGTTTCTATTCTTTACTTGTCACAGTATTTGCGTTTTTCTAACACACTTGAGAATCCGCGAGTATGCACTCGCGTCTACGCAATGATTCGGATATATCTGAAGAGAGAAAGAGAAGAATTATCTTTGTCATTTGTTTTTAAAATGGAGAGTTTATAATGAAATGATCTTCATTCCAATTCACAGCAACGATGAGTGAATCGGATTAAAATTGAAAAAACTCATCTTGGAAAAGACATAGAATAAGAAGGAGTATTGTTACTTTACTATTGTAAAATAGTATATAAGTAGCTCGAAATAAAGTGAAAATTTTACTTGAAATCATTTGTTCTCCGATTGTATTCACTTGCTGTAAATTATCTTCGCAATTAAAAAATTCGTTTTTGATTTAGCGCGCAAATTTCTTTTTGAAGTTTTTATGTTTTAATTACTGCATCGCGGCACAAAATACAAATGATGAATAATTTCTCTCTCTTCTTTCTTTCCTTGTGTTTCCTTGTGTTTCTAATGCTGTTTTGCAAAAGGTGCCACCAATGGCCACGTATGCAAAACGAGGAATATATTTGGAAATTCAGATATATCCGTGACGTCCTCGTAACTTTTGTGAACTTTTTATTCATTAATATTACGATTTAATTCAGAGTCACCTTTATTTCGCGGATGATTATCGTTACGCATGTGCGTTATAAAATCTATCGTCGGTATTTGAATATCTTTTCACCTGGAAAGTTTTAAATCTTTCTACGGTGGTGCATTTTCATACAGTAAGAGATATATTAACATGTAATATAATGCAGCTTATCAACATTTAAAATTTCGCAAAATTAATAAGGAATGTATAGATTTCCTTATTTTTGATTCTCGCTTTGATTATCATTTTCATAATTAGAAAGGTGACTCTGAAAAAAACATTTCTCGTGATAATTGTACGCTCAGAAGATGGCACTATTCTCAAGTGAGACTGAAGTATTCTTCGTGAATTGTGTATTTAGTTCTCGATTGAAACTGCCGATTGTCAGCAATTCTGACATAACTATCTCGTGATAGCTCTTTAATGATCTCCGAAAGGTTCGATCGACAACGAAATTCACGAGAAGCCTCGCTCGCATTTCTGTTCTTTTTCCAATCGTAAGCAGCAAGTTAAGCACATCTACATTCATCTACAGCTTCTAATCAGGGATACGAAGTTCCCAAGAACCTTCCCCCACCGATTAAGACATTCTGAAAAATGTTTTCTATTTTTCTCTCTTTTCTTTTAAAATTTTTTTTTCTATTATTGAGCGGAGAGGTATTGCTATGTAGTTGTCAAGAAGAATCGTGCCGCTTTGATATGTCATACATATACGTCCTTCCCCTTTGTTTCTTTTGTGTTCGCTTCATCATGCTTTCGATTACTCTCACTCTCCCCTTTTCTCTTCCGCTCTCGCATTCATTCACACGATACAACACGATTTTTAGCCTTTTTACAGCCGTTCTTCATCTGTATCGCTCGTTTTAAAAGATGACGTGCGTGAAAAAAAAACATGTAGGAAAAAAAATAAATAAGACAATCATATATTTAAAAAGCTATCTTTTTTCTCTACCGTAGGGCTGGACGTACGTTCATAATTGATAGGGTAAGACAAGGGGTAGGGGGTATTCTCTTACATTTTATATACAAAAAAAAGACACTGAGCACGACAGCGACACACTGACCGATCTGTACAGATTACGAAACTCCACTCTTGACATACATAAAAATATGCGCGGACACCTTTGACAATCATAAGTATATACATTTATATTATGTATCTCTCATACGGAAGGATGATGATCAGAGAGTCAAGGGGAAATTGACGTATCTTTTTAAGCAAATACCCGTCCAGCCCATCGAGCGGATACAACTAGAAAGACAAATCACCCCAGATTCGGATCATGTTTGCACATTTCGAGCGCTAAAAGTATCTCACTTTGTTGTTTTTAATTGCGGCTTGATAATATCTTTTTTTAGTTCTAGAAAGTGGCATAAAAGCATAGTAAACAAAGATCAAAATTAATCGTTCTTTCGATAAAGCTAACTCGCAATTCTTTCTGGAAACGCTGAATGCTCCTCGATCACATCGAGTAACACGTTCCTTGATCGCTTTGCGTTCCAGTCACGATTAATGGCACGTATTCTTTAAGAGATATTCTGTATCGTTACCGCGTATTCGGTGCTAAATACACGTATCCATTTCTCGTCACACGCTCGCGGTTTTCGTACAGAAATAAGACTCGTAGCCGGATTATAAGGCTCATAACTACGTTTGGCATTAAATGCGTCGCCAAATAAGCGTAAGGACGCGGACTTACAGTTTTTGTGACACCGATTACAGCTTTTGACGATTCTTAATACTGCTTCCACTTAATGAGCTACTTAAAGATACACGAAGAATCCTCGTGAGACATCGCCGTCGCGGACACACGCGAGCGGGACGTTAATTCTCTAGATGAATCCGTTCTCTGTTCGAAGCTTCTGCTGTGATTTTTGGCATTTTCTTTTCTTTTCATGCGAAACATATCCACTCGTTGATTATCGTTAACAGCACTTAATACACAGAAGCGCGTGAATGGAAAAAATTCGACGCGCTTCCTCCTCGTGAAACTACCTCGAGAATCCGTCGCCGAATACGGTAATTGTAATTCAATTTTATCTAATAATAAAAATAATAACTATGCTGTGTATTGTTAGTAAATAATAATTTATATGAAAACACAGTTGTGAGATTAGAGTAATATGACGCATTTTTGATAGAATTATTCTAAACAGATTCGTAAAACATGAGATCGAGAGATCAATTCCTTAAATGTGATTTTTTTGATTGTCGAGAATGATTCCAACGGATCATGAGAATGACTCTCGAGGGTAGTTTTGCGCCACGTGTACGACGAGTATTAGCTCGCAACGTAATTGTTTCGATCAGAAATGAGAAGGATCGGGGAGGTGAGGGTGCTTTTTTTCCATGTACGAATACGACACATATAAAATCCATGCTCTTTATACATGTTATTATTGCATACTACACGTTCGCCGCTGCGGGCCACGAGGCGCCTCTCTCTCCTCTTTTCTCGCTTAAAAAGTATTTAAATCTTAAAAAGAGTCAGTGGCTGAGGAGCGAGAAAGTCCGCGAAGGGCTCTCGACGAGCCGGGTAAACGAACGGTATGTCGCGAATGAGCGAGACGAGTAAGAACGAACGAGCCATCTTTTTTCACACATTCAACTCAATTTTTAAATATGTCTGCGCAGTTGCTACTTTTGAGCAAAAAGAATCGGTGATCGAAAAATTCGGGAGCAAAGATACGCGATGACGTTACATACTTTTCATTTTCGCGAAGAATAAGATTAACTCTTTCTTGTCACTCGGATCGCTCGATTTGTGAGCAGCGCATTTTGATTTTTTTCGGTTTCCTGTGTTTCTCTTGTTACGTATAGAGTCTTGTTTTTAACCCGGTTCTCGCTGCCTCGACATTTTTTTTGATTGAATAGTTTGATCACAATTTGGCACAGTGATTATTGTGATTGTTGAGCATCTTCCTCGCTCTCGTCGCGAACGCTCATGCGAGAACGATCTTATTGGTACGATCGAGGGAGGTAGATCTTCACGATTCATCGATCCAATCGTAATACTTTGACGTAAGAGCATGACACT